CTTAACGCCAAGCTTACCACCGTAGATCTTGGCGTCGAGCTCGACGCCGTGCTTACCAACGCCGAGCATGTCTTACGTATGACATCATGGGTGATGCAAGTGCAGTAGTAGGTACGGTAACAGTCAAGTCCAACTAACTGCAGAGAGAACAGAGAGACTTGCTTGTTTAGTTCTCAAAAAAGTTTCTCAAAAAGTGTTATAGTAGCCATCACATCGAATCTTGTGTGTATGAAGCATTAAATGTAGATAAAAAAAGATAATTGCACAGTTTGTTTGGAAATTGTGAGACGAACATTTTGAGCCTAATTAGTCCATGATAAAACACTAATTGCTAAATAAAAACGAAAGTGCTTGAGTAGTCAAATTCCCAAAATTCATGAACTAGCCACAGCCTTGGTCTTCGACAACGGCTCGTATAGTATATCTAATCTAAAACGAAGAAGATATTATTGATAGCATTGCTAAGGCCCTGTTTAGATCCCATTAAAATTTCAAAAATTTTTAAGATTTTCCGTCACATCGAATCTTACGGCATATGTATGGAGCATTAAATGTAGATAAAAAGAATAACTAATTGCACAGTTTGCCCGTAATTGGCGAGGCGAATCTTTTAAGCCTAAATAGTCCATAATTGGACAATTTTTTCCAAATACAAATAAAAGTGCTACAGTGTCCATTTTCCAAACTGGAAGGGACCTAAACACTCCCCGAGTGATGACTGCCATACCCCATAGTCAAAAGATATAAGCCTGTATTCGGTTGACTGATTCGTATCGTTGCTAATTTTTTTATGTAAGAGAAAAATACTGTTAACTTATTTATATAAATAGTATCGTACGAGGGGGCTGGCCAGCCAACCCAGCCAGCCAGCCCCAGCCGGCAGTAGCAAATACTACTCCAGTAATTAATAGTAATGAGTACTCCGTACTTACGGGCAGACATGAGGTGTCCCGGACCGAAAACCACAGCAGGAGGACCGAGGACCGATTGCAACTGCAATTGCAAGTCGCCGGAGGCACGGGTATGGGTCACCCGCATGTCAATCAGCTAGCTACTCCCCCATCACAATCACATTAACGAGCTGGCCTGGCATCGCCGGATTGGACGCCACGAACCTCGCGCCTGCCTCGGCGCCAAATGAATTAACAACGCAGGACAATCGACAGCGTGACTTGCCCCCCTCCCCCCCCATAATAAAGAAAAAAATAGTAGTAGTATAAGCTACTGTAGGCACCCATCGTCCGGCCTAACCACGCGGCGTCCGCGTCTCCCGGTCCACACCTGCCGATGCCCGATGCCCGATGCCGATCCATGTCCATGTCCGTCCTCGCGGGCCTCCCCGCACGTCGCGCTCCGCGGCCGGTGGCCAGGGGACGACGACGCTTTTACACGCGCGGCGCCGGCTCCCGCGCCTCCGCCGAGGACGCAGCGCAGGGCGGTCAACAAACGGTCCGCAGTCCGCACGCAGGCGTCGCCGTCTCTTTTTAGAAAAATAAATAACAATAAAGCGAACGTCGCGCGCGCTGCTCGCCGGTCACCCCCTTCCATGATCCCCTCACTAGTCACCACGCCTGAAGAATACCAGACCGATAGACTCCCTGCACAGTGCTGGCTCCCGTTCCACGAGAAGTCGTCGTGGCGCTGCACTCCCAAGTCAAGTCAAGCTCTCGTCCCGTGCCGCCGCCGCCACCGCCGCCGCAAGACCCAGTAAGCACGGCGTCAAGTTCTACGGCGTTAAGCTTGACATTAATATCTATGACGTCGAGCTCGGCGTCAAAATCTACGACGTCAAGCTGCCTACTATGTCACCGCCATGTCTACATCTAGCCCAAAAGCTCGGCGCCAACAACGATAGCGCCGAGACGTGTAAGCTCGGTGTCAGAAACGTTGGCGCTGAGCTAAAGGTATATATTTTAAAATCTTAATTCCAGAGACATATTTGTGAATTTTTTTTAAAAAAAAGGCTAAAAATATTAAAAAATTTAGACGTTACGACGCCCGTGGAAAAAAAAGCGAGAGAGAGGAGGCACCGTGCAAGGCCTTGTTTAGTTGACGAATTTTCTTGGGAATTAATGTTTTTCTCTCACAAAAACCAAAGACCAACAAATCTTTTTCGTTGTTGAACATGCCCCTTGTTTAGTTGGCGAATTTTCTTAGGAAATGGTACTGTAGTACTTTCGTTGTTATTTGATAATTAGTGTCTAATCATAGTCTAATTACACTTAAAAGATTCGTCTCGTGAATTTCGTCTAAACTGTGTAATTAGTTTTATTTTTTATTTATATTTAATGCTTCATGCATACGTCTGAAGATTCAATGTGACGGAAAATTTTCAAAAAATTTGTAAAATTTTGGCACAAAATGTACCTGGCTAACCGCTAAAAATCCCGATCGAAAATTAATGAAGTGAAATTGAACAAAAAGCAAACAGAATAGAAACAGGACAAAGAATGGCTCGCGAGGTGCCCTCAAAGCAGAAGCACGGCGACCGGTCTCACCACGGCTGCTTTATAATGGCGGCTGCCTTCTGTTGAGAGAGTCGAGTCCCACCATTCTCCCAACTAGTCGGGAGCCTCCTCGACCGCTCAAGCCATGGAGAAGGCGTTGGCGGCGTCCACCCAGTGGGCGGACATGGAGACGGACTGCCTGGTGCACGTGTTCGCGCGCCTCGACCTCGAGGACCTGGCGGTGGCGGCCCCGCTCGTGTGCCGGGGCTGGCGCCGCGCCGCCGCCGACCCGTCCCTGTGGCGCGCGCTCGACCTGCGCCGGGACCACGTCGCGCGCTTCATGACCTGGGGCGCGCTCGCCGACGCCTTCGAGCGCCGCTACGCCGTGCACTGCTTCGCCCTCGCGGGCTTCCTCAGGCTCTGCGTGGCGCGCGCGCGGGGGTGCGCCGAGGACGTCGCGCTCCCGCCGCTCCTCGCCGACCAGGCCGGCGAGATCGACCACATTTCCCTCCAGTAAGCGCGCGTCTCTGCACACGTCTTGTCACCTCGATCACACGAACGCACTGCACGTCTCACATGCTTCGATGTCCACCCCACACACAGCTGCCCCAGGCTGCGGCGCCTGGCGCTCCCGCAGCTGACGGCCGGCGACGAGGCGCGCCTGCCGGACCTCGTCCCGCGGTGGCCGCTGCTGGAGCACCTGGAGCTGGAGGCCAAGCCGTCCTTCTCCTTCCCGGCGCTCGCCGCGCAGCTCGCGCTGCACTGCCCGGGCTTCGCCAGCCTTCAGACCTCGGGGGCCGTCAAACCCGAGGACGTCGCGGCGCTGGCGCGCTCCCTGCCCAGGCTCCGCTCCCTCTGCCTCGACCGCTCCTACCTGCCCAAGGAGCACCTGCTCGCCATCCTCGCCGGCTGCAGGGAGCTGAGGGAGTTCAGCGCACGGAGCTGCGTCGGCTTCGACGACGAGGACGAGGAGGTGCTCAGGTGCGGGGCTAGGATCCAGCGGTTCGACGTCGGAGGGTCCAAGTCCAAGCTGGTGGAAGACCTAGGGCTCCTTTGGATCGGAGGAATTTGAGAGAAATTTCAAAGGAATCTAACCCCTATGATTTGCTCATATCACATGGTGTTTGGAACGGAGAAGAGCAAAGTTTTTCTTTCTTACGAAGAAAGGCTTGCTTTTCTTTGTGAAATAGAGGAAATAAAAAAAAAATCATACACGTGAATGGAGAGATGAGCAAACCGTTGTTCATTAGAACGAAGGAATAAACATGTTGTTATTATATTCCTATATTTGAAACACTCGTTTCTATAAAAATTTCTATACTTTTAAATTTTCTGTTTTCTACCACACTCATTATTTTCTATTTCTATGTTCCAAACAGATACTGCATAATGAGCTCGCCGGTGACGACTCAGTCCTACGTTGACGTGATGTGATATCTGTCCTTGCATCATCCCGCTGCTTACGGTGGCGCTAGTGATAGATCCTACACATGACTAATGCTCAGTAGTACGTACTCCGTAAAGATCGTAAACGGAGGGTGGGAGCGTCCGTAGAAGAATGCAAACCGAGGGACGACAGATCTATGAATATGACTCGAGTAGCTGTCGTCGCCGGCGACGACTCAGTCCTATGTTGACGTGATGTGATATCTGTCCTGGCATCATCCGGCTGCTTAACGCCTCTTTGACATGGCTTATGCCGGCTTCGGCTTTACCTATTTTACGTAAATCGAGGTATTGTAGCGTGAAGCCGTTTTATAAGTCGGGGTTAAAATGAACTAGAAGCTAGAAAAATCCAATTTTTCTGGCTTCACCGGCTTTGACTTCACTGGTGAAGCCGTTTTGGATGAGCCGTACCAAAGAGGACTTTAATGCTCAGTAGTACCTACTCCGTAAAGATTGTAAACGGAGGGTGGGAGCGGACGTAGAAGAATGCAAACAGAGGGATGACAGGTCTATGAATATTACTCGAGTAGCTATCGTTTGTCTCCTTGTCTCTAGATTCCACCATCCAAAAAAATCTCCTACTTTGTCCTTAAAAAAATCTCGTTCCTCAGCACTTTCCTCACCACCACACGTTACAGCTCTCATGTCATCCTCATCCGCCCGCACCTCCATTGACCGCGCCGCCTCCCATACCAGCGCAATCGGTCTGAGTCTCCTGCGCTCTCGCTGCCTGTGCCCCGTGCCAAGACCAGCCGCGCACCTCCCTTCCGCTGCTGCCACTCGCCATCGTCGGAGCTACGCGCTCACCATCGAACCTCTGTTGCCGCGCTGTGTCTCTCCCTACGTCGGAGATTGCGAGACCAAAGTGCCCACTGCCGCCGAGCCCTTCGCGGTCCGATAGCCGAGCACGCGCGAGCCTGCTTGCCGCAGCGCCGCGCAGCACTGCCCGACGACGCACGCCGGCCAGACCCACGAAACCACGAAGCCGCCGTCGAAACAATCTTCCGCTGCATCTCCCTCAGCTCACTTGACCGCACCGCCTCCTCCATCTTCTGTTCCATCTCCCTCTTCCCCTTCTCCATCCTTAGGCCTCGCGTGTCAATAGGGATGGCTGGATCTCGACGCCGCCCTTTCCGCACCCGTGGGAGCTGGATCCAGCGGGTTAGGCGCTCCACGCATCGAGGTGCGAAGCTGGCCAGCAACAACAGCGAGGGGAGCCCCAAGCGCCCAGTTAAGGTGTTGGTCGTCGATGCCAATGCGGGCGGCGGCGCTGATGGGAGCCCCATGTGCGTCCCTGTGTTTGGGGGCGACGATGGAATCCCAAGATCCATCGACAAGATTGGGGAAGGCGATGTCCCCAACATGTGCGACGGGATTGGGGAAGGCGGCGCGAGCTCCGTGCCTGTCCTCAAGATGTGCAACGAGATTGGGGAAGGCGGCACGAGATCCGTGCCTATCCCCAAGATGTGCGACGGTGGTACAAGACAGAAGGAACCCGTGAAGCTGGGGCCAATGGCGGTGACGGGAGCCCAGAGCACGTCCTCAATATTGGGCGTAGTCGCCATCGCATCGATCACCTTGGCCAGTTGTATGTCCTTGACTCCGAAGATGAAGGCATCGGCATGGAGGCAGGACTTTATGTCCCTGATTTGGAGGAGGAAGATGGACATGGTCATGGCGTGAGCGTCGATAGCTTCGTCGATGTGCTGGGTTGCCCAGAGGTGATGTTGATGGGCGCTACAACTGTGGACGTGCAGTGGTGGCATCTATAGCCAGCAACAAGTCCGAGAAGATGACCATGGCCACAAATCCGGTCATCAAGGCTGCCTTGGTCCAGGCTGCTGTGGACGTCCCTATGGGGGATGTCGCCACCGCTGCTAACGAACTACACCTAGAGATGGTTCAACACTTGAAGGTATAGCTTGCCGGGATGGAACCCCTCTTCCATGAGACCTTTCTCAGCATCCTTAAAACTTATTTGCCTGCATGCTTCCAACCGTAGTGAAATGTGCATATTTGTGACGATCAGGTGTTGCTTTTGGGATGATCTGTTGGTCATGTGCATATTTGTGATGATGAAGTAAGTGCCGCTTTGTGTTAATCAGTAGGTCATGTGTGATGATGAAATGATATGTACGTATGCTGGTGTGCATGGTTTGGTTTGAACTTGCTGGAAAAAATGTTGGCTTTTGGGTAGGAGTAATGCTACTAATCTAGTATGTGGTGACCAACCTTGTGGATTTAGTTGTAACTATGATGGGGTTGTTTCCTTGTGAACTATGCTACTAAATTAACTACCTTAATTTCGGCTTTAGTTTGTGGTGACCAGCCTTGTGGCATTAATTCATTGTATTTGTGACGAGCTATTTTGTTTCAAATTATTCTACAACATTAACTACTTTGATGTTGGATTATGGCGAACGCACATTGCAATTTAACAGGAAGCCAAAACTATTGTTGTAAAGTGGAAATGCAGTTTTCTCTCGAAAGACGTTAAAAGACTTGTGAACATGTGTGCTCCCTTCTGTTTTTTGCATTTGGTCACTAGTTCTAATTGAAACGTTGATTAATTTTTTTCTTCTTTAAAAGAACACATACCATACCCTTACAAAAGTAGGTCTCGCTGATATTCTGAAACAAGAACACATATGTACATTTTGAAGCACTGGACAACACATAGGGATCACACTAGCAAACACCTTTGTACATGCAACATAGTAGTAGCAAACACATTTGTACATGTAGCACACTACCAGCAAACACCTTTGTACATGCAGCAGACTAACACTGCATTCAGCAAAATGTTGAGTTCTAAACACTAAGAAACTAGGCATATAGGACCTTATTGTGACTCTGTCAACCTTCATTGTCTTGTTGATTGGTGTCCCCTTTGGTCTGCTACCACTTCTTCTTTTTGCTGGTTCCTACACCAAATGACAAACATGTTAGCTTCCAAAGCAAACCATAGAAACTAATTGAAGCAAAAAAACACATAAGTTCAGGTACCTCTCTTATAAAAGGCCATATGCCTAGTTTACCATCAAAGGTGCAGTTCCCTTTATCATCATACTGAGGATTGGCTACTGCACAGAAGAACATTACCTTTTCAATGTAATTCTTGTTCCGCACAGTCCTATGTGGGTCCTCTTCACCTTGAGTCATGTAGTAGGTCACATCTTTTCTTGTTCCATTGAACCACTTCTCATCTTGGTGTATGATGTTCTTCATTTCCTTGAACTTTGGCTGAGTTTGCAATGTATGCTGCTCTAACATTGAAACACACCACCGCAACCTTTCTTTTTGTTTTCCTCCTTTAAATATGGCTTCAATGAGTTGGAGTGCCGTTTTAGGAACCCATCTTTGAACATCTGATGTACTGTGGTTTTTTCATACCTAGAGCTTGAGCTAGAGACCTTATGGTACACCTTCTGTGCAATGGAATGGTCTCTACTTGTGAGGTGTCGATTTCAACCTTTTTGCGGCCACAATTCTTGGGCTTTCTTGAACTAACATCAACCGACACTCCATTAGCTCGACATTGCTGTGTTTGTCGCCAAATACGCCACTTGCATGTCGATTGACATGAAATAATTCAGCAACCTCAGTTGTAGTGTTTCTCTTTAGTTTTCCTCGGTTGCTTTTCTCCAGCAGTGCTTCATATATCTGTTGCCTTTAAGCTATAGTAAGATCCTTTGACCTTGTCCTAAAATTCTCATTTCCTAGTTCATAATCTTCGTCACTGGAGTCAGATAACTCTTCCTGATCAAAGACGATGTCCACCTCATTGGCATAGACGCCATACTCATGCATTTCCTCCATGGTTGGGATGTAGTCATCATTAACTACAAAAAAATATAGGTGCTGATTGTGTTCATCTGGAACTAAACAAATGTACATCCATTTATTGTTTGATGGCTTAGTTTAACTTGTTTTTAATCATTGTAATCTACATTTGTGGAATGTGAAATTTATTAACAACTAATAGCTAAATATACATTATTCGTATATTTTGTAGGAACTTCTCTACTGGACATGGTACTACATGCAGTGTGGGCACTGGTTGGAGGTTCTGTGTACGTAATTCTTCATCCTAAAGTCTCTATTGGACATGGTACCACATTGACCCACTAATTCATCAACAAATAAACCTTGAATATGAGATAAATTATGTCTAGTCCAGTCTAATTATGTGCTATAGCTTTCAATACAATGTCATATAGTCCTTCGATTAAGTAACTCTACATTGAATTTATTCCTGAGCATGCATGTATGTACCCAATGTCTCAGAAAGGATCTTAACTTGTAAGCCATTGTATTTTCTATTAAGCACTAATAAAAAAGCATGTAGGCAAACTATGGAAGAAAATACATACAAACAAAAACACTTACAATGGTCTAGATCTGGTTGATAGGAAGCATGCAAGTTGAGATCGAAAAGATCAACATAAACATCAAAGTTGACATTTCCATCTGCACTAATACCTTCGTCCCCTGTAGCTATGTCATCATCTCGAACAAAAACATGAAAAGGCTCTTCATCATGTGCAGGCTGCATATTAAGGTCTGGTATGGCTTCTCCTCCCCCATCTGGTAGGTGGTGTTCATCAAGAGCAGGTGAGTTTTGTGAGGTTGGAGTACTCCAATAACTTAGATAAGTGAAGAGACAAGTAACTGGGCTGATTATTTGGTTTTGCCCTCTAGTAATCTCAACTCTAACAAGATCATCTTGATGTGCATCATGGATCTGGAATAGATCATCCTCATCTTCTGGCTGCTTCTCGTTGAGGTTTGGTAAGGTCTCTCCCTCGTCAGGTGGTGGATTGTTCAAATCTAAAGCCATGGGTTCAAGGAAAGGGGGTGAAGAAAGATGGTGAGGCAGTCATCGCCAGGCTTTTATAAGCCAAGGAAGGGGTAAATGGCGGCATCTAAAATTTTGTAATCTTTGCTTTTAGCCACTTAAAAATGGCGCCAGATGACATGGCGCTGCAGAGAATTTGTACCAGCTGTAAAAGAAATGAGCTGCCCACTTGTTGGCGTGATTCTGTCCACATGTTGCTCTCTCCCCATCCGTCTGCACTCCTCATGGTAGGCTGCAGACTTTTTCACTGTCAACATCACTAGGGGTACATGCGTAATCGTCCAACCCTGTTGAGTTCACATCAGGAAGCTAGAATTGCTTCCTTTCCCGGACAGAGGGAGTACTTTGATGGATTGCACACTTGCACAGGAAGTGAGTCCGGCCTTTGTTTTCGGAGGGACTTTTGGTGTTGACACCTGGATGCATATCGGCTCGACTGATGTCAATATTTTGGTGTGTGCTTCCGTCACCATTGCACACACCTAAAATCAGTGTGATAAAAAACACCTAGTCCATCAACCGTGTTTATGCATGAGTACTTGGTGTATTTATCGTATATATACAACAGTATTAAAATGAGCTCCATGTTGGTCAAGAGAATCTAAAAATTATAAAATTAATTAGAAAAAGAAAACATATATACTGTTGAATTTGGTCGATCAACCCATAAAATCTATGTTTAATACAATTGTAAGATTATAACAAAAAACCTACATCATTGATTTTTTTAATTATCTAATAAAAACTTAGATTATATCAAAGAGTCAATTCTAAGCAGTGTTCACCTAAACGGATTAAACGACCGTTTAAACGGCCAGTAAACGGTAAACGGTGGTAAACTGTTTTCTTTAGGGGGTAAACAAAAATTAAACGATTGACCGTTGAAATGGTCAAAAAACGGAAAAATAGGCTAAACGGACTAAACGGAACGGAGATAAACAGCATTAAACGGGCTAAACAGCTGTTTAAATGATCGTTTAGGCGAACACGAGGTAAATCTAGTTCAGTTTTGAATGGATAAATTTATATACTTAAGTTTATTATATGTATAAATGTGTACACTTGATATGTTACATGCATAAATATCTATATTTGGTTCTTTTCACATGCATAAATATATATACATACTAAAATAATTGATTTTTACTCGGATAAATATGTATAAATGCTAGAATACTTGATTTTTTTACATATACATATATAATTATATGTATTTTTTTAAAGTACAAAACCGTTTAGACCATTTAACTTCGTTTAAACAGCGTGTAAACAACCTAAACGCTAAAAGAAGGGGGACCGTGTAAAGACCGTTTACCGTTTAGGAAAACATTGATTCTAATACATTATGAGATTAGAAAATAGAAAAAAACTATAACGTTAGATTCTTATTATAATTTAATGGCATAGATTAATGAAAAAAATTCAAAATAATAAACAAATCAAGAAACATAATAATTTGATTTCCATACAAGTTGGAAAGAAAAATACCTAGACACAAATTCCATATAAAACACAATTGCTAAAGGCAAAATATTCAATAAAAACTATAAAAGCTAATTGTTTGTTGGAAAAAAGTACTTACATTAGTGGTCCATATAATTATAATTAGCAAATAGCTAAAGTGAAAACTAAAATGTATGGAAATATAGTAATAATTTTCATATGTTTGAAAAAGTACCTAAATAAAAATATTGCATTGATCCTATAAATGTGTATTATAGCGATCTAGATTTATCAAAAGATATTGGGAAAAAGGCTATAGTTTAGATAAAATAGGTATGAAAAGAGATAGTAGTAGTGTATCATTCAATCACCGTTCCAATTGGATTTGCCCATATATGGTAATAAAAATCAAGGAAACCACATAAATGTTATAGGATGGATTACAAGCATGCACAACAGCTATCCAACCTGGACACCAATGTCTTGGCATACCCATTAAAATTCATTAAAACACTTGGATCCAATGCCAGAAATTTGGCTTATGCTGATGCTTATGCTGATTTGTTGTGAGAGAAAAACATTGTTCGTTCACTTAAAAGTACTACTGAAGTAGTATTGCAGAACAGGTCTCCTTCACCATAATCTGTATCTTACAGTGGCACTAAGCTCAGCAAGTCATGTTTTGCATGTGTTCATGGCGATAAAGTTTTGTGTCTCTAGTGACATGGATGAATAGGAAACACCCAAACATAATATGTTTATTACAATGACCGTAGATCAAATATCATTGCTTTCATGTAGTGACTGTCACACCTGGTTTTAAAAACAAACCAGATGCATATTATATGTGTGCCAAGATCAATTTTCAAATATATAATGATTTCATTAATGATATCCTAGACACACTGCATCACAATGTATTACGTAAATTATGTAAATATAGCAAAATGTCTAATTATTAAGAAAAAAGCAACATCGTAGTGAAATCCACGGGAAGGTCGACTGTAGAAAAACGTATACCTAATACTACAGAAAGTCCTATGGATAGTCCTCCCAGGCCTGGTTCTCTCAGCATTATTTTTGGATATAGCAAGGTGAGCACGCGCGCGTTGTACTCCTCAAGTTTTAGAAAAATAATGAGACGCAAGCTGAATAAACAAGGTAAAAGTTGACACTAGTTTATGTACTAGATAAGCATTTTAGTTGGCCCAATTTTATTAAAACAAAATGTTTACTGATGTGAGTTGAAAAAAGCCCAACCTCCTGTTAGTTGCATAATTAACAACAATGAATGAATGATCATCGATCATAAACCCACCCATCCAAACCTCTAATCATGTGAGTGGTCCGAGTTGATCGTGACTGTTCTACACGTGACGTTACCTACAAGTTGTGAAATTCCCGTTTGCCGTGCTGATTACGCACATTCACACTAACTAGGTGCGTGGCTAGGTTTCACTACGCTACCCTTCCCAAATCCCTCTAATAAGTAGCAACACGCGAGGTTTCAGCGTCTTAGCGATATGGCCCCCCTCCGCCCAAGTGGCACACGGGTCACACGTCACACACACCCGGGTAGGACGAGAACCATACCCCCTAGTCGTCCTCCTCTTGTGCCTTTTGGTAATTAAGCTACTACTATTTGGACAGCAGAAAATCCGCCGTATGTGGCTTCTATTGTGGAAAAATATATTGCGGCGTGCCAGTGTACTAAGTACACAAAATAAAAGAACAAGTATTTTATTAATCATCATGAATTAACAAATACAAGTCCACATATGCGCGTGCTCCATGGCCTGCCGGCGACGATCTGACTGCGCATCGAGTCTTCTGGTACCTAGGGCCTCAAGAGGCTCCCAGTTAATTGCCCTGTGAGCTAACACAAAGTTCTCCGATTCTTCTGCCGTGGCCGCCGTCTGCGGTCTTGGCTTCACGTGTCCATGCATGTGTTAGTGTAGGTGTGGGCGGATGGGCCGAGACAACAAAGCTGGGGCCTTAGCTATGTCCATCTACTTCGTTCGCCTCGTCGTTGTCAAATGCCGCAGGATAGAGTTATCGTAGTAGCACGTGCATGGTTGGTGTAGCTTGGACTGCTTTGGACTTGGGCAGCAGCATCGCGGTACGCTGGAGAACTTTGGTCGGAGGGGTTGAAGTTGTATGTCCTGTTCGCTTAAGCCATAGCTAAAAGTACTATTAACTAATTTATTATAAGAAAAAAATATTGTTCATTGACTAAAAAAAAATACGGATTATAAGTCAGCTACAAGCTTACGAAGAGTTGCATCCGGCGGGCTAGATGCATCTGATCCCGGGCGTGCGGCCGGCCGTCTTGTACGTACTTGCCTACTACTAGTACAGATGCGATCAATGGCCTCCTTCCTTGTGCAGCTCCCTTACAGATGCACGTCGGCTTCGGATCTCCACGTGCACCACCAGGTCGACCTCCGGTCCTCGTGCGCGTACGGCAGCCACCGGCCTGTTTGGCAGGTCTGAATTGGCTGGCTGGTGCTGGGGCTGGACCAGGTAACCCAGCCAGCTAATTTCAGCCGTCAGCCATTCCCAGCAGTTGGAAAATGGCTAATTTCATAATTTTAAATTCAAACTGATTATTGGTGTCAACATGTGGTTTTCATATAATGGCGCTAAACCACAATGCACATAAGGTTGTTTACAACACATTTACAATCCGCAATTCACAGTTAAACAAGTTACATGTTCAACCAACAATTTACAGTCCATTTGTTCTATCCATACAACACAAAGATCATACACTACAAATACCACTGTAGGCATATATGCAGCACAAACATTGTGGCCTTCATGATCCCACTAACCAAAATACACGCATACCTGCAACCTGCATGTGCACATACACCACCCTCCTTCGAGCTGCTGGCTGTCAACACAGCAGAGGCAGCTATGCAGCAGCAGGGCAAAAACAAGCGGTCATCACAAAATGGACCGTGAATTTGAACTTCTTTGTGCGTGTCTCCAGTTGCCGGTAAAGCACCTTCGTGATCTGCTTTATATTCCAGGCAGGCAGGCAGCTCCAGTTAAGTTTCAGAAAAAAAAATGACATGGATTCAAGAATAGATACTATATTTTCCATCATACTGTATGTAGTAAAGATATAATTTTCATTAAGCTAACCAATGTGAGCCTAACTAATGTCTCGCAAATCTGGCCACAGCAATGGAAAGTCCATGTACAGCTGTAAACCTTTGAAAATCCTATGGAAATGCAGACTAATTGGGAAGTGTGAACACAAATATGTATTTTCTCATGCAAAATATTTTTTAGAAGTTAAACTTAGTTTGAGATGTAACATTTTCAAGGAGAAACAGCGAAACATTTCAACTTTTTTCTTTTTCAATGTGCTACTAAGTACTGTAAACAGCAGACAGATATATAGGAAGTAGCTGCATTACCTCAACTTTCATAAATCAGATACCACTCCACACAATCATAGATATCAACTCCCTAACTATAGAGGTTTGGGTTCCCCGATTTAGCTCAACCCACTCCGACAGCTCATACGAAGGTGGATCAGCTCCATACTTAAGCAGCCACAAGTAATTTTCTAATGCAAAGCATGAAATGATTAACATAGCCTACTTCTTCCTCTTGCAGTAAGGCACCCCTTTCAGAATCTGCCAACGTTCTTTCAAGCCCCCAAACCTCATTTTGATGACATTTCGTAGCTTCGCATGAATGTAGTTGAATTTTTCCTCCCACTGCAACCGATGCAAATCTACACCCCTAAAATCGTTCATATGATACCTTGTGTTTCTGAAGGGAGTCATGTAACCTGCCATGTCCATGTAACCCGTGTCCGCCAGGTAGTACCGGCCTACCAGAAATGACAACATATCACCAATTAGTCCTACTGGATGAGGAAACACAACACAGCATATGACATTGTGGTTTGTACTCACAACAGAAACACCTAAAGACAACTCTGGACTATGAATGCGGCAAAAAATAAGTAGTTCCAGTTGCATCAAACTAACTTATACTAAGCCAAAAGGTACCAACATTTAGGTATCAACAGAATAATCTTCACCACACATGTATTACTGCACAACTAGATAGCAGCTTTCTCCCTGAGATGTCAACTCGGGCTCCTACTGTATGTACAAATGTACTGATCTTAACAACAGTATTCAATCTACAATCAATTCCTAGGATGTCATAAGGTGCTGTGGAAATCAATGAGATGTTTGCAGTTTGTTTGTTTTTTAAAAATAAAATAAAAAAGGAGTGTTGAAATGTTTGTTGTCAACTGACCAAAATCCAACCAACAGGTCCTAGCTACAGACAGAGTTTGGATAACAAGCCTATGAATCCAAAGTGCTTATGTATATCATATATCAATCAAGGGAATATTATGTTCTTGCCCCTACTTTGATGTCCAATTGTGATTTTACCCTCATTTTTGTCATCGTTGTGATTTTACCCCTGCTTTGTAACTACTAAGGCTCAGTTCACCCTTACTTTTAACTCTGTTAGTTGTATCTGGAATAAAAAAATTAAAAAACAACAAAACCCTTCACAGTAAGACCAAAGGACAACAATACCCCTCATCCACTCATACCCTCCCCAATCCCCCATCCTCTACCGTATCCTCTCTATCTCTCTCATTCTCCTCACGTCAATCCTCTGAAACCCTAGCAGCGACGTGGGCGTGGGGTGCGGCTGGGCGGCGTGGGTGTGGGGTGCAGTTGGGCGGCTCCTTGCAGCGCACAACGAGGGCACGGGCGTGGCCCCGAGCGGCCAGGCCCCGTTCGTTGGGCGGGCAGGCACCCGGCGTCGAGCAGCCAAGGCCCAGCGGCTTAGCGTGGGGTGCGGCTGGGCAGCAACGAGGGATGGGCGCGCCCCTTGGGCTCCTCCAACTCCAACTCCTCCAACGCCTCCGCCTCTTCCAACGCCGTCGTGCAGTCCATCATCGCCTTCACCGAGGTCTCCGCGGGTCGAGGCTTCGTGTGCGGCCTACAGGTTAGTGGCGCCGCACTCGTCTGTTGGCCGTCCACACCCGGGCCGCAGTGGGGGCAGCTCCACAGGCTCTACAATGGTCCCGACCCGCTCACCGACCTCGCTATCGGCGGGGACCACGTTGCGGCCTACGAAGCCAACACCTCCGCCTCCAGGACCGGGAGAGTCCTATGGTGGCGCGGCGGGGACCGGTTCCCCACGCAGGACGATGGTGGATTCCGCTCGCTCGTCTCCAGGGACGGCTTCACCTGCGCCGTCGAGACCAACGCGTCCGCGGCCGTCCAATGCTGGGGAACGTAGGGTAGTGCAGTGCAGGCGAGACTCGCCAACGCGATCGCCATGACGTACCTCGCCGTGGGGGGCTCCCGAGCATGCACCGTCCTCGCCTCTGGCGCCACGCTCTGCTCGGGCACGGACGACATTGGCACGGCGGTGAACGCCTCTGTCGCTGGTGCGCTACCAAGGGACCTCTTCGGGTATGGCCTAGCCATCGGCGACTCCCACGCATGCGCGCTCCGCCGGCCCAACCACACCATGGTGTGCTGGAGCCTCGGGGGGCCCACCACCACACTGTATGAGCCGGCGCTCGGGATCTCCTTCCAGTTCCTCATCGCCGGCGGCAACTTCACGTGTGGCGTCGCGTCCAGCGACTACAACGTGTACTGCTGGTCCACGGGCGTCGATGTCACGCCCGTGCCGCTGCCAAAGATCCGCCCTGATGTCTACGTCAGTGACGTCAGCGTCTGCCGCCGGGGACATCAGCTCCTGTGATTTGGTCTATAGGAAAATTAGTATCAATCTGTAGGAAGAATGAGTTTCTGTCTGTAGAGCGATTTAACTAACTGTGTATTCGGTGATGTGATTTGTAGGCTAAATTACATGGATATGAGTCTTGTTGTTAGAGTTCTGTCATTTTTTAGTTTGCCTGATGGGGGACCAAAATCATGGCGACAGGGTAGAACCTTGCCTACTCTAGTTGATGACATGCATAGCTTTGACCTGCTGCAGCTAGTTAATTTCATAGCTGGGCACTACCTGTGGGCTAGAACAGAAGGAACAGAAGGGGCTAGAACAGAAGGAAGAGGAAGAGGAGGGAGGTTGGCTGCATTGTTAGGAATAGATGCATGAATGTGATGCATGACACTGAACATGTAATATCTCACTATTAGCTACCGCTTTTGTTGGACTTATGTTGGATGAGGCTTGGTGCTGTATGGATACTTTTGCTACACTTTCACTTGATATGATATTATATATCTATATTTGCATGCTATGTGGAATCATATGTAACAAGTTGTGCAATGATGCTGCTAATTTTTTTTTTAAAAAAATAGGAGTAAAATCACAATGTATTCAGATAAGTAGGAGCAATTTCGCATGGGCAAACTTGTCCTTACTGAGCCCATTTGACACCATTACCTGTTGTTCATGGAATAGGGGTAAACTTAAGCATCGTTTTCAAAAATCAGGGGTAAAATCACAACGATGACAAAAGCAGGGGTAAAATCACAACTGGACGTCAAAGTAGGGGCAAGAATGCAATAGCCCCATCAATCAATCTTAGCATTTCATCCAATCATCTTAGGCATTACATGATAAGAACAAACAACAAGCAATCAAGGTCCTTGTAACCTATGCAAGCATTGTCATACACAAAGCTATATTTAAGCACTACCAAGTAAAAATCAGTCACAACATGATGGAATTTTTTTTTGCCAGGCATCACGAACCTGTTGGGAGATGCGGGAACAAACCGTCGTCCTGACAATCTTTCAACACCGCCATGTCATGACATGCCCCCGCCTTCCCGACCCCCACATATGTGAAATGGCCATCCATATCCATGATGACACAAACATTAATTGTTGTTTCGTCTTTCCTATTGAAGAAATCAGCCTTTGCTTCATGGTTAACCTCAACCTTTATGTGCGTGCCATCTATAGCACCTATGCATCCATCAAACCATAGTGCATATGTAGCAAGTTTCTGGCTTACGCGTGTGTACTTCCTATCTGCGGGAACTAGGATAGTCTTTGCCCACCTATGAAAGGTCCTAATGGCTAGAGGGGGGTGAATAGCCTATTAAAAATTTCTACAACAACACTTAGCAAACCAGTAAGACAATTATGAGGCGAAGCAAGTGTTGCGCTAGCCTACTAAAAATGCAAGCCACCTACCACAATTCTAGTTTCTATAGTTTCTAACCACACAATGGCCATATCACTATACTAAGGTACTGTGCTCTCGAAGGCTAACTAAAGAGCCACACTAACCAAACTAACAAACTCTCACAACTAGCTACACTAAAGAGCTTGATAACTAGTTTGCGGAAATATAAAGAGAGCGAGCAAGATGGTTATACCGCTGAGTCGAGGAGTGAACCAATCAATGGGGACCAATCACCTCGGAATCAAATGATGACACAATAATTTTTTACCGAGGTTCACTTGCTTGCCGACAAGCTAGTCCTCGTTGTGGCGATTCACTCAGTAGGAGGTTCACGCGCTAATTGGCATCACACGCTAAACCCTCAATAGGGTGCCGCACATCCAACATAAGATGAGGATCACACAAGCCACGAGCAATTCACTAGAGTACCTTTTGGCTCTCCGCCGGGGAATGGTCAAGAAGCCCTCACAATCACCACGATCGGAGCCGGAGACAATCACCAACCTCCACTCGACGATCCTCGCTGCTCCAAGCCGTCTAGGTGGCAGCAACCACCAAGAGTAACAAGTGAATCCCGCAGCGAAACACGAATACCAAGTGCCTCTAGATGCAAACACTCAAGTAATACACTTGGATTCTCTCCTAATCTCACAAAGATGATGAATCTATGATGGAGATGAGTGGGAGGGCTTTGGCTAAGCTCACAAGGTTGCTATGTCAATACAAATGGCCAAGAGGGTGAGCTAGAGCCGGCAATGGGGCTTAAATAGAAGCCTATCAAATGTGAAAGATGTCTAGATGCACTAAACATATCCATAGCAAGGATGTATGCCATGCCAATCAACCTTTACCTTGGATTGCTTGGAGGGAGGCATGTCACATGAGTGGGGGTGCATCAACACATATTTGAGAAATCCAATATGTTCAACTCATTCCTTAGCTTACAAAACATTTTCTCATCCAATGGCTTGGTGAAAATATCGGCAAGTTGATCTTTGGTGCCTACACTCTCAATGCAAATGTCCCCTTTTTGTTGGTGATCTCTTATGAAATGGTGGCGGACATCAATGTGCTTTGTTCTTGCATGTTGAACCGAATTGTTGGTTAACTTCATTGCACTCTCATTGTGACATAGCAATGGCACTTTCTTGAACTTGATTCCAAAGTCACTCAAAGTGGCCTTCATCCAAAGTATTTGTGCACAACAACTACCGGTGGATATGTATTCGGCTTCGGCGGTTGATAATGCAACACTATTTTCCTTCTTTGATGACCATGAAACAAGTGATCTTCCCAACAATTGACATGTGCCCGAGGTGCTCTTCCTTTCAACCTTGCATCCCGCATAATCCAAGTCAGAGTAACCAACTAGCTCAAACTTTGCTCCTTTGGGATACCACAAACCAACATTTTATGTATGCTTCAAGTACCTCAATATTCTCTTTGTAGCCTTCAAATGACTTTCTCTTGGTGAGGATTAAAATCTTGCACACATGCACACACTAAACATGACATCTGGCCTTGATACGGTCACATAGAGTTGGCTTCCAATCATAGACCGATATAATTTTTGATCCACCATATTGCCACTTGCATCACTATCCAAGTTGTCATTTGTTCCCATTGGTGTACTAATGACTTTGTTATCACTCAAGCTAAACTTCTGGATCATGTCCTTTATATACTTGCATTGACTCACAAATGTATCATTCTTCAATTGCTTGATTTGAAGACCAAGGAAGTAACTCAACTCTCCAATCATGGACATCTCAAACTCATTAGCCCTCATCTTTCCAAATTCTTCACAAAATCTTGATTGGTTGATCCAAACATGATGTCATCAACATATATTTGCAACACAAATAAATCTTTTCCAATCTTCTTGATGAAAAGAGTGGTGTCAACCTTGCCCATCATGAACCCTTTAGAGAGTAGGAAGTCCTTCAATCTCTCATACCATGCTCTAGGTGCTTGCTTCAAGTCATACAATGCCTTCTTCAACTTGTATATATGGTCGGGCTTCTTATCATATTCAAAATCGGGAGGTTGCTCAACATATACTTCTTCATTGATGTAACCATTGAGAAATACACTCTTAACATCCATTTGATAGAGCTTGATGTTGTGAGCACAAGCATAGGCTAGCAAGATTCTAATTGCTTCCAATCTAGCAACCGGGGCATATATTTCTCCAAAGTCAAGACCTTCAACTTGTGTATAGCCTTGTGCTACCAATCTTGCTTTGTTCCTTACTACTATCACATCTTGATCTTGCTTATTTCTAAAGACCCATTTGATTTCAATCACATTGTGTCCCTTTGTCTCTCTACTAATTCCCATACTTAATTTCTTATGAAGTTATTTAACTCTTCATGCATAGCATTCATCCAATCAATATCCTTCAATGCTTCATCTATCTTCTTTGGTTCGATGGATGACACAAATGAAAAATGCTCACAAAATGATGCCAATGTTGATCTAGTTTGCACACCTCTTGAAATATCACTAATGATAGTGTCTAATGGATGATCCCTTGCAATATTGGTTGGTTGGAGGATTGGAACTTGATTGCTTGCACTTGCTTGATCATTGGGTTGAGATAATGTACTAGCCACTTGATCTTGTTTATTATCATGAGAGCCACTTGTACTAGCTTGATTTGTATCATTTTGCACATTTGAGTTAGAGAGCACTTGTATTTTATCATCTTCATCATCATTCACTTGCTTGGGCCTCAATTCACCAACATCCATGTTCTTCATGGCATTTGAAAGTTGAATGCCTCTAACATCTTCCAAGTTCTCATTCTCTTCTTGTGAACCCTTGGTTTTCATCAAATTCAACATCATGAACTTCCTCAAGAATACCACTATCCAAATTCCAAACTCTATAAGCTTTGCTAGTGGTTGAGTATCCAAGTAGGAATCCTTCATCACATTTCTTGTCAAACTTGTCTAATCTAGTGCCTTTCTTCAAGATGTAACATTTACAACCAAAGACCTAAAAATATGCAATGTTGGGCTTTCTACCATTCAAGAGCTCATATGGTGTCTTCTCTTTCAATGGGTGACAATAGAGGTGGTTGCTACAATAGCAAGCCGTGTTGATAGCTTCGGCCTAAAAGGATTGACTCACATTGTACTCACTAAGCATAGACCTTGCCATATCAATGAGTGTTCTATTCTTCCTCTCAACAAGGCCATTTGATTGTGGAGTGTACTTGACCGAGAATTGATGTCTAATTCCAAATTCATCACACAACTTATCAATTCTAGTGTTCTTGAACTCACCACCATTGTCACTTCTAACTCTCTTAATGGTTGTTTTAAACTCATTGTGAATGCCCTTGACAAATAATTTGAATGTTGCAAACACATCACTTTTTTCCACTAGAAAGAATGCACATGCGTATCTCGTATAATCATCCACTATCACAAAGCCATATTTGTTATCACCAATGCTAGTGTATTGAGTTGGCCCAAACAAATCCATGTGCAATAACTCAAATACTTTACTAGTGCTCATCATACTTTTCTTGGAATGGGTGTAGGAGCGCCAGCGGGTAGACGGTCCTACGTGTGGTCGGTTGGCGTGGGAGACATTTGGCCCGCGAGCCGGCACGCAAAACGAGCAAGCACTCAGGGGTTGTGAGGAAACGGGCTAGCACGCGCAGAAGTCCCAGTGCTAGCATCTCCGTTCGTGATATAGCACCCGCCATGACTAGGATGCGTAGCAAAGCGACGGGGCATTACGAATGATTTTTTTTATTTTTTAGCCTTTTTTTAAAAAAAATTACAAATATGCCTCTGGAGGTAAGAATTTAAAATATGGACCCTTAGCTCGGCGCCATCATTGCTGGCGTCAAGCTCTTGGGCTAGACGCAGATGTGGCGGTGATATGGCAGGCAGATCAACGCCGTAGATATTGGGCGCCAAGCTCGACGCCATAGATCTTGATGCCAAGCTTAGCACCGTAGATCTTGGCGTCGAGCTCGACGCCGTGCTTACCAACGCCGAGCATGTCTTACGTATCACATCATGGGTGATGCAAGTGCAGTAGTAGGTACGGTAACAGTCAAGTCCAACTAACTACATAGAGAACAGAGAGACTTGCTTGTTTAGTTCTCAAAAAGTTTCTCAAAAAATGCTATAGTAGCCATTACATCGAATCTTGCGTGTATAAAGTATTAAATGTAGACGAAAAAAACTAATTGCACAGTTTGGTTGGAAATTACGAGACGAACGTTTTGAGCCTAATTAGTCCATAATTAAACACTAATTGCTAAATAAAAATGAAAGTGCTTGAATAGTCAAATTCCCAAAATTCATGAACTAGCCACAGCCTTGGTCTTCGACAACGGCTCGTATAGTATATCTAATCTAAAACGAAGAAGATATTATTGATAGCAGTGCTAAGGCCCTGTTTAGATCCCACAAAAAATCCAAAATTTTCTAAGATTTTTCGTCACATCGAATGTTATGGCACATGTATGGAGTATTAAATGTAGGTAAAAAGAATAACTAATTGCACAGTTTCTCCGTAATTGGCGAGACGAATCTTTTAAGCCTAAATAGTCCATAATTAGACAATTTTTGCCAAATACAAATAAAAGTGCTACCGTGTCTATTTTCCAAACTGGAAGGGACCTAAACACTCCCCGAGTGACGACTGCCATACCCCATAGTCAAAAGATATAAGCCTGTTCGGTTGATTGGTTCATATCGTTGCTGATTTATTTATGTAAGAAAAAAGTACTTTTGACTAATTTATGTAAATAATATCGTACGAGGGGGCTGGCCAGCCAACCAGCCGGCCAGCCCCAGCCGATCGGCCTGGTCTCGGTAGCCAAAAGACCTCAACCGTTGAAGACTAGCAGTAGCAGTAGGCCAGTAGCGAATACTACTCCAGTAATTAATAGTACTGAGTACTCCGTACTTACGGGCAGACATGAGGTGTCCCGGACCGAAAACCACAGCAGGGAGGACCGAGGACCGATTGCAACTGCAATTGCAAGTCGCCGGAGGCACGGGTATGGGTCACCCGCATGTCAATCAGCTAGCTACACCCCCATCACAATCACATTAACGAGCTGGCCTGGCATCGCCGGATTGGACGCCACGAACCTCGCGCCTGCCTCGGCGCCAAATGAATTAACAACGCAGGACAATCGACAGCGTGACTTGCCCCCCTCCCCCCCCATAATAAAGAAAAAAATAGTAGTAGTATAAGCTACTGTAGGCACCCATCGTCCGGCCTAACCACGCGGCGTCCGCGTCTCCCGGTCCACACCTGCCGATGCCCGATGCCCGATGCCGATCCATGTCCATGTCCGTCCTCGCGGGCCTCCCCGCACGTCGCGCTCCGCGGCCGGTGGCCAGGGGACGACGACGACGCTTTTACACGCGCGGCGCCGGCTCCCGCGCCTCCGCCGAGGACGCAGCGCAGGGCGGTCAACAAACGGTCCGCAGTCCGCACGCAGGCGTCGCCGTCTCTTTTTAGAAAAATAAATAACAATAAAGCGAACGTCGCGCGCGCTGCTCGCCGGTCACCCCCTTCCATGATCCCCTCACTAGTCACCACGCCTGAAGAATACTAGACCGATAGACTCCCTGCACAGTGCTGGCTCCCGTTCCACGAGAAGTCGTCGTGGCGCTGCACTCCCAAGTCAAGTCAAGCTCTCGTCCCGTGCCGCCGCCGCCACCGCCGCCGCAAGACCCAGTAAGCACGGCGTCAAGTTCTACGGCGTTAATCTTGACGTTAATATCTATGACGTCGAGCTCGGCGTCAAAATCTACGACGTCAAGCTGCCTACTATGTCACCACCATGTCTGCATCTAGCCCAAGAGCTCGGCGCCAGCAACGATGGCGCCGAGACGTGTAAGCTCGGTGTCAGAAACACTGGCGCTGAGCTAAAGGTATATATTTTAAAATCTTAACTCTAGAGATATATTTGTGATTTTTTTTTTAAAAAAAGGCTAAAAATATTAAAAAATTCGGACGTTACGACGCCCCGCGAAAAAAAAGCGAGAGAGAGGGGGCACCGTGCAAACAAAGGACTTGTTTAGTTGGTGAATTTTTTGGGAAATGTTACTGTAGTACTTTTGTTGTTATTTGATAATTAGTGTCCAATCATAGTCTAATTAGACTTAAAAGATTCGTCTCGTGAATTTCGTCTAAACTGTGTAATTAGTTTTATTTTTTATTTATATTTAATGCTTCATGCATACGTCAAAGATTCAATGTGACGGAGAATCTTGAAAAATTTTGTAAAATTTTGGCACAAAATGTACCTGGCTAACCGCTAAAAATCCCGATCGAAAATTAATGAAGTGAAATTGAACAAAAAGCAAACAGAATAGAAACAGGACAAAGAATGGCTCGCGAGGTGCCCTCAAAGCAGAAGCACGGCGACCGGTCTCACCACGGCTGCTTTATAATGGCGGCTGCCTTCTGTTGAGAGAGTCGAGTCCCACCATTCTCCCAACGCCGTGCACTGCTTCGCCCTCGCGGGCTTCCTCAGGCTCTGCGTGGCGCGCGCGCGGGGGTGCGCCGAGGACGTCGCGCTCCCGCCGCTCCTCGCCGACCAGGCCGGCGAGATCGACCACATTTCCCTCCAGTAAGTGCGCGTCTCTGCACACGTCTTGTCACCTCGATCACACGAACGCACTGCACGTCTCACATGCTTCGATGTCCACCCCACACACAGCTGCCCCAGGCTGCGGCGCCTGGCGCTCCCGCAGCTGACGGCCGGCGACGAGGCGCGCCTGCCGGACCTCGTCCCGCGGTGGCCGCTGCTGGAGCAGCTGGAGCTGGAGGCCAAGCCGTCTTTCTCCTTCCCGGCGCTCGCCGCGCAGCTCGCGCTGCACTGCCCGGGCTTCGCCAGCCTTCAGACCTCGGGGGCCGTCAAACCCGAGGACGTCGCGGCGCTGGCGCGCTCCCTGCCCAGGCTCCGCTCCCTCTGCCTCGACCGCTCCTACCTGCCCAAGGAGCACCTGCTCGCCATCCTCGCCGGCTGCAGGGAGCTGAGGGAGTTCAGCGCACGGAGCTGCGTCGGCTTCGACGACGAGGACGAGGAGGTGCTCAGGTGCGGGGCTAGGATCCAGCGGTTCGACGTCGGAGGGTCCAAGTCCAAGCTGGTGGAAGACCTAGGGCTCCTTTGGATCGGAGGAATTTGAGAGAAATTTCAAAGGAATCTAACCCCTATGATTTGCTCATATCACATGGTGTTTGGAACGGAGAAGAGCAAAGTTTTTCTTTCTTACGAAGAAAGGCTTGCTTTTCTTTGTGAAATAGAGGAAATAAAAAAATCATACACGTGAATGGAGAGATGAGCAAACCGTTGTTCATTAGAATGAAGGAATAAACATGTTGTTATTATATTCCTATATTTGAAACACTCGTTTCTATAAAAATTTCTATACTTTTAAATTTTCTGTTTTCTACCACACTCATTATTTTCTATTTCTATGTTCCAAACAGATACTGCATAATGAGCTCGCCGGTGACGACTCAGTCCTATGTTGACGTGATGTGATATCTGTCCTTGCATCATCCCGCTGCTTACGGTGGCGCTAGTGATAGATCCTACACATGACTAATGCTCAGTAGTACGTACTCCGTAAAGATTGTAAACGGAGGGTGGGAGCGTCCGTAGAAGAATGCAAACCGAGGAACGACAGATCTATGAATATGACTCGAGTAGCTGTCGTCGCCGGCGACGACTCAGTCCTATGTTGACGTGATGTGATATCTGTCCTGGCATCATCCGGCTGCTTAACACCTCTTTGATATGGCTTATACCGCCTTCGGCTTTATCTATTTTACGTAAATCGAGGTATTATAGCATGAAGCTATTTTATAAGTCGGGGTTAAAATGAACTAGAAGCCAGAAAAATCCCGCTTTGACTTCACTGGTGAAGCCGTTTTGGATGAGCCGTACCAAAGAGGACTTTAATGCTCAGTAGTACCTACTCCGTAAAGATTGTAAACGGAGGGTGGGAGCGGACGTAGAAGAATGCAAACAGAGGGATGACAGGTCTATGAATATTACTCGAGTAGCTATCGTTTGTCTCTAGATCCCACCATTCAAAAAAATCTCCTACTTTGTCCTTAAAAAAATCTCCTTCCTCAGCACTTTCCTCACCACCACACGTTACAGCTCTCATGTCATCCTCATCCGCCCGCAACTCCATTGACCGCGTCGCCTCCCGTACCAGCGCGATCGGTCTGAGTCTCCAGCGCTCTCGCTGCCTGTGCCCTGTTTCAAGACCAGCCGCGCACCTCCCTTCTGCTGCTGCCACTCGCCATCGTCGGAGCTGCGCGCCCACCATCGAACCTCTGTTGCCGCGCTGTGTCTCTCCCTACGTCGGAGATTGCGAGACCAAAGTGCCCACTGCCGCCGAGCCCTTCGCGGTCCGATAGCCGAGCACGCGCGAGCCTGCTTGCCGCAGCGCCGCGCAGCACTGCCCGACGACGCACGCCGGCCAGACCCACGAAACCACGAAGCCGTCGTCGAAACAATCTTCCGCTGCATCTCCCTCAGCTCGCTTGACCGCACCGCCTCCTCCATCTTCTGTTCCATCTCCCTCTTCCCCTTCTCCATCCTTAGGCCTCGCGTGTCAATAGGGATGGCTGGATCTCGACGCCGCCCTTTCCGCACCCGTGGGAGCTGGATCCAGCGGGTTAGGCGCTCCACGCATCGAGGTGCGAAGCTGGCCAGCAACAACAGCGATGGGAGCCCCGAGCGCCCAGTTAAGGTGTTGGTCATCGGTGCCAATGCGGGCGGCGGCGCTGATGGGAGCCCCATGTGCGTCCCTGTGTTTGGGGGCGACGATGGAATCCCAAGATCCGTCGACAAGATTGGGGAAGGCGATGTCCCCAACATGTGCGACGGGATTGGGGAAGGCGGCGCGAGCTCCGTGCCTGTCCTCAAGATGTGCAACGAGATTGGGGAAGGCGGCACGAGATCCGTGCCTATCCCCAAGATGTGCGACGGTGGTACAAGACAGAAGGAACCCGTGAAGCTGGGGCCGATGGCGGTGACGGGAGCCCAGAGCACGTCCTCAATATTGGGCGTAGTCGCCATCGCGTCGATCACCTTGGCCAGTTGTATGTCCTTGACTCCGAAGATGAAGGCATCGGCATGGAGGCAGGACTTTATGTCCCTGATTTGGAGGAGGAAGATGGACATGGTCGTGGCGTGAGCGTCGATAGCTTCGTCGATGTGCTGGGTTGCCCAAAGGTGATGTTGATGGGCGCTACAACTGTGGACGTGCAGTGGTGGCGTCTATAGCCAGCAACAAGTCCGAGAAGATGACCATGGCCGCAAATCCGGTCATCAAGGCTGCCTTGGTCCAGGCTGCTGTGGACGTCCCTATGGGGGATGTCGCCACCGCTGCTAACGAACTACACCTAGAGATGGTTCAACACTTGAAGGTATAGCTTGTCGGGATGGAACCCCTCTTCCATGAGACCTTTCTCAGCATCCTTAAAACTTATTTGCCTGCATGCTTCCAACCGTAGTGAAATGTGCATATTTGTGACGATCAGGTGTTGCTTTTGGGTTGATCTGTTAGTCATGTGCATATTTGTGATGATGAAGTAAGTGCCGCTTTGTGTTAATCAGTAGGTCATGTGTGATGATGAAATGATATGTACGTATGCTGGTGTGCATGGTTTGGTTTGAACTTGCTGGAAAAAATGTTGGCTTTTGGGTAGGAGTAATGCTACTGATCTAGTATGTGGTGACCAACCTTGTGGATTTAGTTGTAACTATGATGGGGTTGTTTCCTTGTGAACTATGCTACTAAATTAACTACCTTAATTTCGGCTTTAGTTTGTGGTGACCAGCCTTGTGGCATTAATTCATTGTATTTGTGACGAGCTATTTTGTTTCAAATTATTCTACAACATTAACTACTTTGATGTTGGATTATGGCGAACGCACATTGCAATTTAACAGGAAGCCAAAACTATTGTTGTAAAGTGGAAATGCAGTTTTCTCTCGAAAGACGTTAAAAGACTTGTGAACATGTGTGCTCCCTTCTGTTTTTTTGCATTTGGTCACAAGTTCTAATTGAAACGTTGATTAATTTTTTTCTTCTTTAATAGAACACACACCATACCCTTACAAAAGTAGGTCTCGCTGATATTCTGAAACAAGAACACATATGCACATGATAACTAAGTGGCAAAACAATTTTCATAATTTTGGGATAATTAAATAAGCCTAGAAAAATCATGGAAAGTCATTTATTAATTAATTGAGCAATTTTTATCACATCCAAAAATTACTGAAAATCAAGATTTCAAATTTTTGTTACATAATATACATCATAGAGAATTCACACAAAAATTTTCATAATTTTTGGAACTCTAAATAAATCTACACAAAAATAACAAAAACAGACACTATTCATTCATTTCAGAAAATAGAAAATTTTCCATTTGAACTACACAGTCACTGACAACGGACCCCACCTGTCATCTCCTACCTCCCACGCGTTGACTACGACGACGACGGCGCTGACCGGCGCAAACTCGCCGACGACGAGTTCACCGGCGATGGCAATTGTACCAACATGCTCCCCACGACTAGGCGCACCTACTGACCTACTTAGCTGCACCAATTACGACTCCATTCAAGCTCAACGTCGGCCATGGCGGACACGGCGTCTCGGCGGTACTACGCCGGCGACTACAGACCGATAGCGGTTAAACAAAGGACATAGGAAGCATCAAGAGCTTACCCTGAACACAACTGAGCAGATAACAAGGTCGGAGAAACAGCGGTGAAGCGGGACGACGTCCATGGCGATCACGGCGGAACAAAGTTCGTCGGTGATGGTGTACCGACGACTGCAGTGGACAAAATGGCCAAGAAACAATGAAATGAGCACTACAGCATCGAGACGAAGCCAAAGGTACACCAATCAAGGGCAACGGCTCATCGACGGGCTCTGGCCACGGAGAAACGAAATCTCGGGTGAGTTCGCCGGCCGTGAGGAAGAAGGCAATGAAACTCGAGCTTCCGGTGAAGAAAAACAGAATTGGTGGGTCGGCCGGACGCGCAAGGAGTAGGCGGAGCTAGAGCTAGCTTATCAGCGATGGTGGAGCACAACAACGATGGCACGGGCTCACTGACGATGAAGCAGTGGCGACGGAAAAACAGAGCAAAGGGACGGGGTCAAACGGCAACGGTTCAGTCTACAAAGGATGGCCAGGAAGCTTAAGGAAGCTACGCCGTGTCCTTCACCGCGCCAGCGCGACGCCAAAACGGCCACGACCGCGCCTAGAACGCCGAAGAAGGAAACGCCGGCAATGTAGCTTCGGCGGTGAACACTGTTCACACAATTTACAGAAATGCCATTCGCCCAAAATTCACAAATTACTCTCAAATTTTCATAACAACTCAAAAATCTGCAAAAACAAAAGTTGTTCAAAATCAAAAGTTCTACAACTTTGCTTTTGAAACTATACCCAAATTCGGCCTACATTTTGAAATGAACTTTTGAATTTAAAACGGGGATATTTAAGGAATTTCGCCTTTTTAAATACCTTCAAATTTTTCTAAACAACTTGAAAAACTCCAAAAATAAACTTTGTACAACTCGACAAGCTCTACAACTTTGCTTTAAGACTCAACCCCAAAATGTGCTTCGATTTTGAAATGGATTTTCAAGGTCGGATTTAATTATTGAAAATCAGGGTTTTCCGAATTTCAAATCAATACAAAGATTTCAAACTTGATTCAAACAATACCAAGCAATACATATAACCTAAATGTAAACTTGTTTTAGTGAATGCATAACAAAATTTGCAACATGACCAATGCCTTGCAATGCATATGATGATATGTCCGGTTTTTAATATTTAAACACCCGAGGTGTTACAATAGCCACTGCAACATCCAGATAAAACACTTGCGACCAATTTCTGAAACAGCTAAAACATTTGGAACATACACTTGCAACCTACGTTTGAAATAGTTGAACATTTGAAACATACATTTTCAACATATATGTATAGCCATTGCAACATATGCAACACCAGATATACTTTTGCAACATCTAGATGAAACATATGCAACATACATCTAAAACGCATGAAACATATAGTTGCAAACATTTGCTCATCTACTTACTGCCATCCCATGGAGCTCGTTATCATGGTGCGAGGGAGCGTAGCGCGAGGCGCGGGCGGCGCGTGACGAGAGGCACGAATGGGGGCGTGAGCGCGAGGAGCGAACGGCGCGCAAGGCGAGTCATGGGTGGGGTGCGTGGCACGAGGCACGAGGCAGGTTTGGCTCGAGGCACAAGGAGCAGGGGTGCGTGACGCGAGGCGGGTCCGGTGTGATGCGCGAGAAGCAAGGGCGCGCGACACGAGGCGGGTCCATCCCGTCCGGAAGGACAGACGCCTTGAGGGTATCATTATCGATTTACACTTGCCACACATATACATACACACACTACTAAACATACCCATATTTTGCAATGGGACATATAATTTCTTGCACAGTACCAAGCTAATAAACAATGAACGATATATTTTTGGTGGATTTAATTGCGCTTGGCTTAACCTTAAATCAAATAAATTCTAAGACCCATATAGTAAAATTAGTGCAATAAAGATTAATTCTGTATGAGAAATTGATAGGAGATTGACTTAATTAAATTGATAACTATTCTGTGTATCTGTTTTAAGTTTTAAAAAAAAGTGGGACGGGTAACTTGCCTAGATGTGCGCTGCGATGCATACAAGCTTGGGAAGCCTAGTTGTAACATGAGTGCTGCAGCGGTGATAAAAGTTTTGTATCTCCAAACACAAAGCAACATGGTGACAATGAGAGACGATGGACCGAGAGACTAAAGATGAACGAGAGAGACGGACGGACACGGGAGAGAGTGAGGGACGAAGGAGAGAAATTTTCGCTCTTTACTGTTATACCCAATATACACACACATACATACACACTAATTTTTTTTAAAAAATTTACAACAAAATTTATAATAGAAATTACCGGCTCATAGGTACTTTATTTGAATACTACATCAATATCTAGTTATAAACTTATACACATACTGCTGGAGGGAGTATATTTGTTCATGTGCAAACATAATTGCAGTTAAAATCGACTATTCCGACTGCTTATGTCACTGTGCTCCCGGAGAAATTTATCCCATAGACTTTGCTGGTAAGAGCGTCATTGCTAAGATTTTTGAGCCGTTTGCGTCCTTTTCAATGACCAGATCTGAAAGAGATACATGGCGTGGTTGTGCATTCTGGGAAAAAAAAAGAAAAACGCTATGTTCTTTTTGAATAGAAGAATGCAACAAACTCATTTCTATGGACGAACGCACACACACCCATACACCTAAATATATGAACACCTCTTAGATAGATACCAAGGCAATAGAGATTGAGATTTGACGATGGTAACACTACTCCATTGAATCAATGGGCACTGAAAATTTCTTCTTGGAAAAATCGGCAAATTAAACAGAGTGGACAGGTTCCACTATAGTAAACCTAATCAACTAATCGAGTACATTAAGGGTCTGTTTAGTTTAAGTATGAGGTGTGGAAAAGATGCTGTGAACTATGAGCTATGTGTTGTGAAAAAATTATAAACTATTTAGGTGAAACAAGGATAAACAATAATATCTAGTAGGTTCCATACTCCTCGCAAAAAAAAATCTAGTAGGTTCCATACTATAGTAACCCTTCTCTATCTCCCTTTAAAAAATCTATGAAACAACTCTATTTTCACCCGTTTCGAAAGCAGAAAGGCAAGCTAAAAGCAGGGTCCAATGTGCTTACAAAAATGTACTACAAGAAACTAGTTGAGCTTTAGGTTTCACCTGTTTGGTGGCTTTTTTACTTTTTGACAACATAAGCATTTTTCAAAAGCTCGACCAAATATAACCTAAGTTTGCATGCTAAACCTTTCTTAACGTGAAAATAAATTTCAAAGTTAACATAGAAAATAACACGGTCAAAAGTATTTTTAGCCAAAATATAAGTAGAATTTCTTAAATTGACAAATAATAAAATCAAGGATTTTATTTGGTTTGCCCTACACGAGAAAATAGTTTTGGTACTAATTGCTGACACAAAGTTTGAAAGTTGCCTGAGTATGATCCCATATTATCGAGCCTAGTAAAATAGTTAACCGATGGCTCCGACCAGTTTGAGTGGACCTCCACTCAAAAAATAAACAACCAAAACAATAATAACCTGCGTGGGCATTATGGAATAATAGTGAATTTATTAATGAAGACATTCTAAAATGAGGGCCGATGCGAATTGTCAGTCCTAAGAGAAAACTAGTTATCTGATAAAATGAGCGCTGAAGAGAGGAACTAGATAGGACGGGCGATGTTGGAATTTTGAGACTGGAAGTGCATATTGGTCTCTTGCAATTGCAACTTTAAATAGGTTTAGTTTGATCACTGTCTATAAATAATACTTCTTTCTAAAATAAATCAACTCCTATAATCACCCTAAGTCAACAAAGGTAAGAGAAATTATTGCATACGTAATTCGATATGCCATTTTGATACTAACTTGATGATATACATTTTTTTTAAAACTTGGTGATATTCAAATATTATACAGGTTGGTATGCAAAGGTGTGGACCAAAAGTCCAAAACGAAATAAGAGAAAATAGATGTCCGTTCACACAA